GAAGTCGCGGTCGAATTACGTATCCGTTTGCCTCCTCGATTTATTTCCCGGCGTTGCCTGGAGGTCGGCCGAAGATCGATGGCTCGGTCGGATATTAATTCGGCGAATCGGTCGGACGTTGCAGTCGGTTATCGGCGGGATACCCTACGATAATAGGGATCGGAGACCGAAATACGTAATGGGATACCAACCGGCTACCTTGCACGGATCGCTCGGACGCGGCTGTTCAAAGCGCTCGTTTCTCTCCGTTTGTCCGGAATCACGTTGCGGAATTCAATCCCGGGAACGGGGGATGATCGATAGGTTTCCTAGTGTGATTGACTGTCTTCCAGCCGACGGTGTCGTCCGATTTTCTACCTCAGAAGTCGGCAAGTTTTCGCGGTCGCCGCGAGAGTGAACGGCTCGCGGTTCCCTCGGATCTCGTGGAAATCGCAGGCGATATGCAGCGTTGCTCGGTGATCGATGGACAGAATCGAGTCTAGTCCACTGCGTCGATTTGTCCCGTTGAAGTTCGGCCCGCGATCGATCGGTTAGCCTTGCAGGTGCCGCGGCGAATCCCCTTCGAGGCAGCCACTAAGGAACGGATGGATTATTCCTGGAGGAGTGAATTCTCGAGGCGCCGCTACTACCTCGTAAAACGTCTGCTATACCGATATCCACGGCCCCCCTTCCACCCTTCCACCCTTCCACCCCGGCCGCACCCGTTGAAAGTTCTCCGAGGAGAAGCAATATGCCGTTCAGGGAGCGCGACGCCGCCACCGCCGCCGCCTACGCTCAGGGACGCGCTCCTCCAGAGGAAATGAAGATCTCTCGCCGCTGTCGGGATCAGCCCGAGCGGACAGCGGACCGAGTCACCGTGGAAAATGCAGATACCGTGATCCTCCGCAGCGGCGATGAGCAACCTGCGACCTTCCACCCCTCGAGATGCTTACGCGCAGCCGACCGACGTCTACGGATGACCTCTTTCCTCGGCTCAACCTTTTAGACTCGTGTCGCGTTCGTCGATGGAAAGTAGACCGAATTACTTTAACCCTCTGACTATTGTTCGCGGTTGAAGACGCTCGGGCAATCGCTTGTGATAGGCGCTTAACACTAGAATTGCCGAGTATTTACGATTGATATGTACTCGTTACAAAAATTGTAACAGTAAATTATCTTCGGTTTCTCCGGGCATTCGTTATAGTATTCAAGTGAAACTGTCTATTTTCAACATCGTTACGACTATTCGATGCTTTTAAGATATCAGTAATTCTGAAACAAATTCAGTCTAAATGACTGGTACGTAGTTCTAGTGTCGACCCCTTGGCGTACTATTTATTTTCGCTACTGTTGCGTGTGGAAGATACGTAAAATCGATATTTAAATTAGCTCTCAGATAAACCGTTTTTAGCGACGCTGACCCATAGCAGAAATAACCTTATGAAACCATTGGAAACGTTATTTTTTTTACAGCCTGCTTAGAGGCAATAGCGGCTTTTTTTTACTTTATCATGAGATTAGTATTTTTACGGTAGTTTCCTCAATTTGGCATGTTCTGGTAAATTCAATTATATAAGTGTTAAGTTTCAATACAACCGTTAGATTGGAGGCGGTTACCAAGCTCGTCAACCGTTAACCAATGAAATAAACCGACTGCCTTCCCTTTACCGATTCCAAAAGATCCAAACGAGCCAATCAACGCTTTTCACCCCCATCGCTATTCCTTCACCGAGGAAATATAAGGGAAGGTTTCTTCCCGGGAAAAGAATGGAACTTTCAAAACAAGTTCCTAAGGATTATCCTTAACAAACCTTACGAAACCCCAATAACACAGCTCCATCTCCTGGCAAACATCCCACTATTAAAGAATACATATCCCACTCCATCACAAAAGCTTATGATCCCAATCACCCAAATCCCCTAATAAAACTCACAGGTAACTACAATATCGAAGACCTACCTTTCAAAGCAAAAGTCCGACTACCAAACCACATTAACTCTTAAACTCCCAACCACTATTCTAACTCACTCAAGATCATAGGTTTTTTGAAAATTTTCCTATGCAGACAACACAGGGCACACTTTGCAGACATAAAACCTCAAGCTACCATACTAATCTAAACGCCTTAAGTAAATTTGCAGGTATAAGGACACTGTCCAAAAGACACTGCTATACACCATACAAGGGCACCCAAAAAAAAAGAAAAATAGAACTTTCTCGATCACCAGCTAGGTATAGTCGAGACTGCCTAAGCCATTTTTTATACGAGTTGTTCTCCGACGTGTATTTTACAAACACTCTTCGTAATCTCGTTCGAATTCAAGTCACCTAATTCGAGGTGACCAATTCGACACCACAGCTACTAAGTTTGTGGAATATTTGACTACTGACAATCTGAAAGGAACGCAACAAAATTTTCCATTCCACTTCAAGTGGAAATTTCATTTGAAGAGGACACATTGATAATAGCAAAATAGTTTTCTGCTTTGATCCGTGGGAAATGAACATTGTTGTTTACAATAGAACTACCACAGAGGTCAATCATTTTTTATTGCTTCTTGAGCAATTATTAAAATTGATTCAACAATAGGCAAACTGAAATGTAAATCAATAGAAATCTCAATAGTAGCACTGTTGGAGTTTCCACAGAAAAATTTCAAAAAGTTAATTTGACTGTTCGGTAGTTCTAGTGTTAAATTAGTCTAGAAATCTTCATCACGAGTCTCACTCGTCATTGTACGGCAAGGGATTAAAGGCGCTTAAAAATATTTTTTTGGAAATTCCTCTGTAGAAACTCGAAGAACTTAATGAGAACTTAACGACAATAAAGAACGAATGATTTAAAATTCAGCTTGCGTATTGATAAATCAAATTCTTTAACACGTTGAATGCCATGGGGGTCACAGGGTGACCCTCGACCAAATCAGGTCGCCACAATTCACTCAATTAAACGGTGATTACTTGAAAACATTTCTCTGTTATAAATAATATTACCTAGTGCAGTGCCATTCAGCAAGATAACCGTGCAATATGAATGACCTAATTCAATTCAGTAATCCAACATTATATCTTTCCTCATTTCGTGTATTTTACTCCGTGAAATCGTGCGGCATTCGTGTTAATAATTTCTCAGAGAAACATCTGTCCTTTTTTCAATAGTCGTAAAAACAAGGAATCAGGAATGAGTCGTTTTGACCCATCCGGTAGTTTGTGTTAAAAATATTGCGTTATTAAATTATTAGATACATCGTGGAGAAATGTTAATCCTAATTTTCAGTATGTACGCTAACAATTCACCGCGGAACACAAGGAAACAAATAACATTGTTTCAATGCGGTGGAACTCATTTCGATCATTCTAATGTACTTTCTCAGAAATGCACACCTTGTCGCAGTCAACGGGCCAAGTCTCTAATAACCTCTAAGAAATATTCGACTTCCGGTTGCTCGGCTCCAATGGACTTACGCGACGCGCATTCTGAGCAGAACAACCCAGACGAGAAAGTTCCATCCGAATCGCTGGAATTGTTCGTCGAACGAAGCGAAACGAGGCGAGCGCCGCGGACGAAATACCGCGGAACAACAACCGTCGCAACTAATTGCAAGTTCGTTGGGGCTTCGTCCGGCTAACGAGTCAATTTTCACCCGAGATGTATTTGCGTAAGAATGCGCAAACCGTTGAGCCAACCTGACCGAACACGGGCGGCCGGGGTGGGACGGGGTTCGGTCGGCAAATCATGGCCGACCAAAGAGAATTCGAGAATCTCCGGGAACTCGGAGAATCCCCGGGGTACCGGTCGTCCTTCCTCGCCCCGGTAAACAGTCTTGCGGATAAACCTGTTATTCCTACCTACGAAATGTCACGGGAATAACAAGACTGGACTCCCCGGATTATTGCCAACGTCAATGTTTGCCTCGTGTCCAGCGATCCGCGATAAGGATATAGTGCCGCGTCGCCGGTCCGTGAAGTCATCCGCGGGAGCAGCTCGGCTTTCCGAGCTGAAACGGTCGGTCGACGTTCCCAGCGACCGCGTTCACCTCGAAAATTGCGGTCGAACCCGTCCCCTCGACGCGGAACTCCGTTATTTCGCGGAACAACGCGGAACATTAAATTAAAAAGGGATCGGCCGGTGAAAGGGGATCGGGCAGTTGTCGTCGATGTTGCCTCGCGGACGTTCCGCTGCTTTCAGCCGGCGAGAGACGTATTCCTGGAGAGGAAATGAGGGTCCCCGAGCTGTCAGCTGCACCGCGCAACTTGGTCAGCAAACTGGGGAAACGCTGAAACGGACCGGCGGATAATCCGAGCTGGACTGCCGGGCGAGCGCGTATTGCGACCGCGGAACAGTCCCGCGACTTCGGAAGAATTATTAGACGCTCCGGGACGGCCGATCGAACAGCTTCCGAGGTGAAACGGGAAGCGTCGCGGACAATTGAATCGCGACGGTGCAACGGGACGAGGTCGCCGAGCGAGCTCGGCGAAATTTATTCGATACGCGAGACGACGTCCCGTCAAAACGGTTCGATAAACGATACGGTTTTCCAGACAAGTGGCCCCGGCCCTCCGTTGATTGCGCGCGACGCGGATTCCTCGCAGAGGAAATTCCGAGCCGCGCGGATATAGAATTCATCCGATCGGCATTCTCTCGGTCAAGTTCTGCTTTCCGGGGCAGATATCGGATACGTCGCATCGACGAGTCCCCGTCTGTTATTGGATTTTATTCGGCCATGTCTTCTCCCTGTTTCTCTCTTTCGCCGCGTTTCCCCCTGCCTCGTGTAACGATAAGATTAAATTTGAGCGCCGGGCAAAAACAAACGTCCCCCGTGCGACCGACGGTTTCTTTTCTTCGTTTGGGAGAGAAACCCTCGGGACATCGGCATTCTTCCGCCGTCGACTCTTACCTTTGGCTCGTCATGCGCGCGATGCTTGAACGCTTTTTTTCCCCCCCGGTTTCGAGGAATACGAAACGTTTGCGCGCGTTTTATTAGCTAAAGGTAAACGAGACGATGCTTTCTGATTGCAGAACCAGTGACGGAGATCGCCGGGGGCCCGGATCTCTTCATCAACAAGCACAGCACGATAAACTTGACGTGCCTGGTCAAATACGCGCCCGAGCCGCCGAGCGCGATCAGGTGGAGCCACGATCGCGAGGTAAACGATGCGGCGAACTCGCGTTCCGTTTTTCGTAGGCGTCGGAGGCGCCGTCGCGACAAATAGCGCCATTGTTGCCGCGCGGTATCGAGAGACGTCGCCGCTATTCGGGAAACCTGACAAGCTGCGCCGATTGTCCCTGAGAGAAGCGAACTGCGGCTGAATACGCGCGCGGCGCGGGCCGTTTTCTGGTCAGAACTCGATAACTTGAAAAGAATGAGTGATACGAAGAAATATTTTAGGCAGAAGTTGTAACGTATAGAGCTGAATACATGGTGGTTATATTTTTGTTACGTTATGGGGATATTATGAAGTTCTTTTGACACTAGAATTATCAGATGGGTAAAAATTTCCTCATTTACTGTTTCATAATAATTGAAAGCATATAAATGCTTCTTCAAGAAATTATTAAAATAGCTGATTTTTTAATATACAGATTAAAATATAGCTTAACTAACATCTTAATCAACGCAGTTCTATGGTTTCTAGAAAGAAATGTTCAACTGCTCGGTTAAGATAATGGATGCTTTGCGATTCGATTCCAACGTTACGTAAATACAGAAGCGGAATTTATACGCACAAAACGTTTGTTTTTGAAATGAAAATCATTTTGGACAGCAAGGACTACTTAGCAACACATTGCCAGCCACTAATTTTTATTATGTCAATAGTCGAATTTTGGAGTTTCCTGTGCGTCTCACAGAGTGATCAATCGGTCGTTTTTTGGAGAAAACTCGATAACTTGAAATGTATGAGTGATACGAAGAAATATTTTAGAGAAAAATTGTAAGGTATAAAGCTAAACATTCGGTAGTTATACTTTCGTTACATTACGGGGATATTATGAAGTTTTTCCCATAACTATAGATATTTTCCGTGTCGATTCCAGCGTTATATAAATACAGAAACGGAATATATCCGCGCGAAACTTTTATTTTACATTGGCAACGCATTTATACTTGGCAACACGTTGATAGCCTTCAATTTTCATTATTCCAACAGTCGAATTTCGGAGTTTCGTCCTCGGGGCGTAAATTATTCGCGGCGGGAATGAGAGTCGGCGAGCGAACGATCGGGGAGTCCCCAGAGATTTATCGCAGAAAGGAGCTTCGGTTCTTCCTCCCATTCAGCTCGATCGCGGCTGATCAACAGGGAACAAAGGTTAAACGCGGGCAAGCGCGTCGGGGGAGCCGGCGACTCATCGAAAGCCGTTCTATTTTCTTTCCATTTCCTCCGCGCTTCCTTTAAGCTGTCTCCCCGCGCCTCGGCAGATTAAGCGTCTCTTCCGGTTCGCGTTCGCCGTAGTATTCTGCGGCAAGCTTGACGTTGCGGACCTCTTTACGGGTAATCCGCGCGCGGCGAGCCTCGATCGATAGGGCAGAGTTGGAGCGCGGTCCGAATCCGCGAGAACAAATCCTTCCTTAACGCAGGGAACCGTTGGCATTTGGCTCGCGAAAATCGGGCACGCTGCCCGCGAGTTCTCCGCGAAAGTGGCTGTACCAGGGGAACGCGTATCGCCGGGATATCGCCGTAATATCGCGAGAATCGAGGATGGCGTGGCGCGAGAGCCCATTCGCGAAGCGACTCGAGATAAGGAACGAGTTTTAGGGGAGTTGCCGCGTCGCCGGTCGTCCTTTCCGGATTTCTTCGACCGTCCGTAGCGTCACTTATCTCGGAACGCAGTTCTTCGACTCGTTTCTTCCGCAGGAGATTAACTTCGACACGCCAAGGGGCGGCATCAGTCTGGTAACGGAAAGGGGACCCGTGACCACCAGCCGTCTGCTCATTCAGAGAGCGACCAAGGAGGACTCCGGCCTCTACACGTGCTCGCCGAGCAACACTCTTCCGTACAGCGCGCGAGTCCACATCGTCAACGGTAAGGGAAAACGTAGATCGTCTTTTCTCGTCAATCTGTCCCGTTCCAAACGGGAAAGCTTGCTTACGAGTGCTCCCGATTGCTCCGTTTCCATGCCGCGATCGAACACTGGCTTCTGTTGCTCGAGCTAGAAAGTCGGAGGAAAATACAGCTCGATTCCAGCTAACAAGCGGACGAGCTGCGACTGTTTCTCCCACAAAGATGCGACGCGTTCCCGTGAAAGAGTCGCGGCTGGGAGGACAGACGCGTTGAAAGCTCTCGATTGACAGCGGCGCGGCCTGGTTCGATTTTTCCGGAATCGAAACGGTTCTCCGACGTCTAACCTGTTGATCGCGCGTCGCGGAGATTGGCCGCTCGTATAATCACGGGGACGATTGTTACCGCGCACCTAACGATCCGTAGAAACGCGACGCGGGACGAGGTCGCGTAATCAAACTGAAATCTTTGGTGACGCCAGTTTCGCGGGTTCTGAAGATCGCTTGGTACTGTGCTCGAGATAACTGACTGTATAAGAGCGAAGCGTGTTCCTAATAAACTCGGGCATTTGAAGCTTAACTCCTCTGTTGCAAATCCTTCTTAAGTTCTTGAACCCGGTTCAACGGAATATACCGCGAGTCGTGTATCTCTGAACCGTCCGAGCAAGATGTCTCTCTAGATAAGAATGCACTGTTGGCGAATTCAGATAATACGCTCTAATTTCGCGAGTTTGTCTTTGATTTTTATCCCTTCCTCGCGCGCGCGCCGTGACACCAGCGTTGGCCCCTTTCGCGCGACGGGATCCCGAAGGAGCCGGGAAACTTTGCGGAAGAGTTCGCTCGCTCAGGCCGCGTTCCGAGCAGTTTCGGGAGTTTCCGAAATTTCATTTACGTACCACTCCGACATATTAGGGCACACTGTTCGCGCGTAATATTACGTAATTACGCAAACTAAGTGGAAACGTTGACGCGTTCGCATCGGCCCGGGATACATCCTCGTTACCGCGAGCGTTGCGGTATTCTCCTGGAGCGGCCTGTAATGTTACGGAACGAGGAAGGAATTCGGAAAGATCATGAGGAAAGAGGGGGGAGCGTTTCGTCCGGGATCTACTAGTGGACTCGTCGGTAAACGCCCCGATACGTGTTGAAACCCGCGGCGATGCGGACATCGTTACAAGCGATGGGTTTGAGTCTTACGAAACAATCGTTTTCCGGACAAAACTCGATAACTTGAAAAGAACGAGTGATGCAAAGATATGTTTTAGACAAAAGTTATATTTTTTTATACATTATGGGGATATTATGAAGTTTTACGATTTGATTCAAATGTTACATCAATAGAGAAACGGAATTTATCCGCGCAAAACAGAGGTTTCGTATTGAGTTGTTCAGAAAGTTCGTGCCGATTTTTGGTAGATGGCGTAAGGGCAGGTCCGAAAACCTGAATAGAAGCGAGAAAGTCCATTCCTCGTCGTGTAACACACTCCAGCGAATCTGATTTCTGTTGCAGAACATCCAGCAGCGATGCACCACGGCGCAAGCCGAAAAATATCTGCGGACCCGACCCATTTCAATCTTCTGCTTCTTCTTCTCCTCCTCTCGGCGATCGTGTAACCGTTCGACGACCCCCGGCGACCGCTCGAGAATCATTGTAAATAGTTAATCGGATAACGTCCACTTTTTATAAGAGTCACGATCATTCCCTTTCCACGTCTCCTCCTGCGCAGCCTCGAACAACGCTACGCGGAATTGTGTTCGAGTTACGGATAAAAGGTAAGAGCGACGGATGAAATTTCATCCGGCGAAACTCTATTTCGCGCTAATGGACGAATAGTCGGCCGAATATCGTGTAATTCCCTCCGTATCGGTTTTTACGATCAACCTTCCTCGCGAATAATCGACTAACAGGAGTTTATTATCCCCGGCGAACGTTTATTCGAAACAATTCGCGTAACGCCCGGCTCTGATCTCGACGTAATTGAAACACGAGGGAACGCTCGGTTGGAACGGACCGTTTCCGATCTCCTTCGAGAACTCGCGTCGACCCGGACCTAATTCTCGTCGGACCAAGCGATACCAGTCGCTCTTCTGAATCGCGCGCGGACCGTTGAAGCGTCGACGAACGCGACTAGAAAATTGCGCGATCTTTCATCTGGTTATCGTTCTCGGCGGATTGGCTCAACGAACGGAAGCCCGTCCGATTCAGTTCCGCGGGGCGAGTCGTTCGGTGATCACCGGGAAAACTCGATCGACGCGGGTGTTCCTGCAGACCGGCGGTCACGGGGAAATTGGTAACCGAGCAAGAACGGCGCGCCTGCTATCGAGTCGGCATTTAATTAAATAAAAACACGCTCGAAACACCGTCGGACCTTCGCAGAGCGGCGACGTGCCCGATAAACTCGCCGGCCGTTCTTGAAAGTTCCGCATTGTTCCGTTGTTTCGATGCGTTTACCCCCAGCGGAGAATAAGCGACTTCGAAGTGCGCGCGATATCACGGCGAACTTGTTACGTTCCGTTCGCCGTCGTCGGCAAATAGAATTCGCGCGTCCCGGCGAAAACTTTTCCCTCCCGCGCGAGCGATCAGCTCGAGAGGGGAGGGAACGCGTAGACCGCGCCGCTCGCGGAGACAATTAATTCGCGCAGCTGGGGGATCGCGAGCGCGACGCTCCCTTTGAAATCAGCGCGCTCCGATCGAATCGGTTCCCGTTCGAATCAATATTTATGGAGCAATCGGGGAATGGTTTCGATCGTTCGCGCGTCAAAGGGAGCAATTTGCGACAGTTTCGAGGCTCGAGTTATCGATTGAAAAGGGGCGGCGCGGGTTAGACCCGGGAAAAGACGAGCAAGCCGAAACGCAGGGAAAGAGAGCGCGTCACGGTACTCGGAACGAGGTAACGAACCTTTTTTTTCCGTCGGGAACGTTTGAACCGCGCAGGAAGAGTTTATCGTCGTTAACGCGGAGACGCAATCGCGAAAATGTTGTTTGTCTGCGACGAAGGTGCTCGCTCTCGATTCGTTGATTGCGCGTGGCGCGAATCCTCGTTGAACTTTTTCCTCGCGGAGAAACGCGCGGGGAATCGCGATAACGCGACGAAACTCGCGGAGCTCTTAACAGCGGCGAGAATCCGAAAACGAGTTCCTTCCTGGAAATAAAGTTGCGCGCTGCAGCGCAACGGCGGCGAGTAGGATCGCGCGCTCACGGCTGAAGGAAAAACGCCGTTGCCGGGGATTACGGGAACAGACGGAGGAACGGTTCACCGAGTTAAGCTGTGTACGGCTATTCGTACTGATTACTACTCAGTCTCGCTCCCTTTGGAGAACCGTTTGAACTGCCGTGATTACTTTTCTCTTCCAGCTTCTTCCTCAGTCCCGAGACGTCACTGTTGCTTCGTTGCACGACACCGCTTCGCGATGAAATTATTCACCGAGTAATCGTGCCGGCGCATTCCGCTGGAATAGAAATGAAAATAACCACTTCGTCAACCGTCGAGGCAGACCTTTGTCCCGTTCATCGACGCCTCGCGTCGACCGCGATGCTTCGAGCAGCTTTCCCCGCGTTCGCCTGTGAAAGGATGCGAGCTAGAGTTCGATCGTCCCGATCAGCGCCACTTTTCATTCGCAATGGCGGCTCTCCCGTTGCGCCCGAGGGACCAGGAAACTTGGGAGAAATCGGATGGTCCGATTACCGTGATCGACGGATGCGAAAGTGAAAATCGAACGCGAGGGAAGAGGACGCGCGCACTGCCAACGATCTTCGTGCCGATCCGCTGTCGCGCATGCCGAGTTTCCGGCAGCGTTCTCAGTTTTCCCCGGGTGTGTCCGTTGTAGCCGCATTAGCGCAGAGAACGCCCTTTGAACGAGTAGAATAAAGAGACGAGCGCGATGCTCGCGGAAGCAAGTGTTCAGAGTACAAAGCAAAAGGATCATGTTGTTTCGCCGAATGGTAGGTACTGGCAGCGAACCTGCGAGCCCCGACGCGTCGCGGAGTCTTTCATCCGAACCGTAACAATTAGCGAGTAAACTCTTTCATTGTACTTCACCGTGACTCGCCCGTAACGATATATCGCTGTATCCGTAAGCAATTTTTATAGAACCCACCGGAGAGGATCGACGTCTCGTAGTTTGTATAAAGATGCGGCGGCTCGCGCCGCTAGATGGAGTCTTCGCTGTGTAAGAGATTTTTTACGGATGTAAATGAATAAGGGAACTCTCTCACCTCTTCGTTGTAACGACACACGTAGGCTAAACAGATAGTCTGGTAGGCGGAACACGGTTCTTGGAACCGATCGAACGGAATCACCGGTTCGTTCGAGACGAATCGGCGCACAGTGCGGACGAACGGTTTTCTGGACAGAACTCGGTAATTTGACGAGTATGATTGATGCAAAGCAATGCTTCGGATAAAACTTGTAAGGTTTAGAGGTGAACACGTGATGGTTATATTTTTGTTATATTAGTCAGATATTATGAAGTTCTTTTAACACTAGAATTATCAGATGGGTCGAAGTCACGCATTCCTCATTTACTCTTTCATAATAATTGAAAGCATATAAACGCTTCTTCAAGAGATGATTAAAATAGTTGATTTTTTAATATACAGATTTAAATAAAATTTAACTGACATCTTAATCAACGCACTTCTAGTTCAACTGCTCGGTACTTCTAATGTCAACGACAATGGATAGTTTGCGGTTCAATTCAGTTTTGATTTTTGAAAATCATCGTGTATAGCAGAACATCTTAGCAACAGATCGATAACGTTCAATTGTTCTCACACGAACAATCGAATCATCAAGTACTGTCCAGATGAGCCACTGCGCGGCGAGTCATTCCTTTCGAGTGATTTTCGGGGAGCATTGTAAATCGCGAATTTTTATCCCCGTCCGTGGAAATGTTATATTATAATAAAACGCAGACAACGAAAACCCAAAAAGCGGAGCGTCTCGATCATTTCCCCGTCGGTCTCCCCGTATTTACCGGAATTTCCGCGCGAAACCGCGCGATTCTATCCGACAGTGTCCCCATGAAACGACGGCGAAATAACCGTCCAGGTGCGAGCCCCTTTCCTCGCGGCGTTTTAAGTTACCATAGACGTTGCGTTTTCGAGGTGCCGTTTTAATTAATCCGTGAGCCGACTGACGCTAATTACCTCACTTCCCGGCGAGACTTTCTCGCGCGTTCCCCGCTTTGTAACACGAACCGGTCACCCTCTTCAATTTTCCGTTAGATTTCGCCGTCCGTAGGCGCCATGGCTCTCCTCGGCTTCCTCGCCGTTCTCCTCTCTCCCGTTCCGTCCCGGGTTATATACACCTTTTTTGTTCGCGGTTTAATGATGCGGGCAAATACCGTTGGCGCGCCGTTTCTTAATATTCCTCGCCTCCCCTTCCGCCGGCCCCGCCGGGGGCGCGAGCGTCGCTGGCGCCTACAATGCCTCTAAATAAGTATAATACTAATTTCGTCGGGAACCGCGATCGCGGCCCTTCCTGCGGAAAGAGGAGGACGTCCGTGGAAACTCCGACGTTCCCGCGAGTCGGCAAAGATCCCCGGCCGATTGTTCGCGGACGCTGCGGAAACTTTTAATTGGCTGAAATTAAAACGAGAAGAATCGAAAGGGACTGGACCTTTCGCGGGCTCTTTGCATTTTTTAAGGACAAACGAAAGCGACGAGCCCGCCGGCTGAATCGCTCCTGTACCGAGAGGATCCCCGTGAATATTTTTTCCGGGGGATCGTCGTCCGCGAGGAAAAGCTCGGAACGCTTCCGCGTTCACGTTCGAGCGTGTTCCTAGACGCTGTTCGCTAAATTTCACGGAGCTGGATGTATATTTGAAATTCCATTCGGAACATTTTATTTAAACGAAACTTTAACTGTTCCACGCTAGGGAAGGCACCGACCGGCTCTTCGGATCTAAAAATCCTGAATTAAATACAAATCCCCTGTTACGAGGGGAATTCTCATGATTCCACGAACGTTCCGGCGAGGATCCCGTCGGATCGTCTAGTTACTTTCGCGCGCGTGTATTCTTTTTCCGGTGTATCGAGTTTGTCGCGGCCCGGGCGACGGCGCGGGGGCTTAATTATTATGATTTGACCGCGAATCCGGAGAGCTCTTTAAAAATTAATCCCCGGCCCCGTCCAATTTCCGACGCACGGTCTCGTTTAATAAACTCCCCGCGCTTTCCCCGGGACATCTTACGTTTTATCAAGCGACCGGCTCGAGGTTTCCATTCCCGTTATACATTCGCGTTAATGAATAAAATTTAATTAAAAAGTTGGGGGGGAAGTTCCGAGCAACAAATAAAGCCGCGGCGAAGGAAGTTCTAATTGGAAGCCCGACAGATTGTGTTCCGCGCAATTATTTTCCGGAATTCTTTTATTTTCGCCCGGGGAATCCCGGGGCTTCGCCGGTTCTACCTTCTGCATTATCTCGCCGACCAGGAACTCGAATTAACGCCGATCCGTCAGTTTACTTCCCGCCAATTTTCCCCCGATAAACCTCTTAAACATTGTTTCCCCTAACTCTATTAACTAACCGAAGTGAACTACGCCCGAAAGGAAAACCAACAGCGGCTAATTGAAGTCCACCCAAATTTCTCGACTCGAATCGACGGACCGCTCCCCTTTGTTTGCGAAAACAATGCGTCGCTCGTCCATAGAAAACACGCTCGAACCGATCGAGCGATCGACTCTTTCGTAGGCGATGCTGCTCGATATGCATACACGGGAAATAACCTTACCTCTTCTAAGTGGGACTCCGACAGACAACTCTTGTTCAACTCGGAGCGGCGAAGGTAAGAAACCCGAAGAAATTATAATACTTCCTTCGGCCCTGCTTCAGTTTCTCCTCTCCTCCCCGTTGATCGCTGTCATCGACCATGAATCCTCGCGGCGAGTCTTCCAGCTCGAAGTCTCAAGTATCGTTATCCTAACCGACCCTAATTCGGGAGGATGGACTCGGTATCCTCGGATTTTTACGGTTTCCTCCTAAATTACTACAGTCCCGCAGCCAAGTGGAACGAGTCACGTTCATGGAAACGAGTGACTAAATATGCGGGACGCGTCCGACGTTCAGGTATCCGTAACAGGATACAATTATACGATTGTATCGATCGCGGTTTATAAATTCGTAGTGCATAAATATTCACGATTACATCGGATGAATCGAACAACAGCGATGCGCGGATGTTACTGTAAAGGGGTGAACAGATGTGGGTCACCGAAAATGATCAGTAGCCCTTTAGACGTCGAGCACGAAGGTCCGAGACAGCTCCTCGAAATCGCAGAGGTCTCGAGACCACGAAAGAGATTCCTGCCAGTCACAGGAGACGCTTCGAGGATCCCTAGGGACTTTCGAAGGATACTGGAGACTCTTCGAGGATCTCTCCGGGTTCTCCTGAATGTTACTAACGTCCCTACAAAGAGATTCATTAGGGTCACTCTTTAGGGATAACCGGAGGTCCTACCATTGACTCGAGGGACTTCTTGCTGTCATTAGAAGCCCTTTGAGGGTTCACGGACACTTCTCGATCTTTCCCCTTTCCTTTCTGTTCCTCATCTATCTTTACTACCCTCCCACTTCTTTACGCTAAGTCCTACGTCCACTTCATCCGTTGATATGGATAAAGCTTCCTTCGTCCTGTCCTCCAACCCCTTGCTTCAGTTCCACTCTGCATGTATCCCATACGCGTTTCTTTTATATTCCCCGCATTACCAGCACCCCTATTCCCGGAGTACTTGCACTTCCTACCTCCATTTTTCCCGCACCATAAATATGAAGTGAGGTAAGTATTCGAGCTTTCTTTGCTCGAGCTCCTTGACTAGAGAGATGGCGATGCTTTTACTTATTCCCACTGTGCTCACAATTCGAAAAATCCTAGTTACACGAGCTTTTCTAGTTTGAGCTCCTCAATCGGCCAGCTTGCGAGCATTTAAGCTACTTTTATGGATCGTGCAATCTATAAATCTCAGTCTCGACAGCTTTTTTAGTTTGAGCACTTTGGTCTGTGAGCTTGCGAGCTTTAGAGCCATTTTTACCGCTCTACCTGTCTTTAAAATTCCCATGTTGAGAGCTTTTTAGTTTGAGCACGTCTATCAGAGAGGTTGCGAGCTTGTGAGCCATTTTTAAAGCTCTTAGAATATGTTAAATCTCAGTATTGAAAGCTTTTTTAGTTTGAGCACATCGAGTCGAGACCTTGTGAGCTTTTGAGCCATTTTTAGGACTCCCTCGTGTGTGTAATCCCAAACGTGAGAGATTTTTTAGTTTCAGCACCTTGATTCATGAGCTAGCGAACTGTTGAACCATTTTCACAACTGCCGCAGTCTGTAAAATCACATTTTTGAGAGCCTTTTAAATTTAATCATCTCAATCAGCGAGCTTGCGAGCTTTTGAGTCATTTTTATGACTCCCATAGTCTACAAAATCCCAATCTTGCGAGCTTTTGTAGTTTGAGCGCCCAGATCGTTAGGCTTACAATCTTTTGAGCCACTGTGTTTCGTTTAAGTTCTCCGAATTTCCAACTTTTGTGCCATTCCGTGCCTCAAAGATTGTTACTGACATTTCTGATGAAACTTACGTGCGACCGCCTGCGCAGAAAGTAAATCGGCTGCTATCTCGCCCGAATTTCGTCCGTTTCAGTCCCGCCGAAAAGCAGCACAAGTGGATTTCACCACTATGGAGAGCGGATCGAACATTATCGCAGATTCAGCCAGTTAACGGAGGGTTAATACAAAGGGTCAATCAGTAGAAGCATGCAGACGTCTGCGGGTGCTCGTATGTCCACGTAGGGGCTGGCGTCCGCGCTGAATGGACCCGTCGCAGCGCGCGTTCCAGCGCAGCATTGTGACAGAAGTATCCCTCGCCGCTGGACGCGCCCGATCATTACATACCAATCGCGCGAGGCTCGTTGGAATTCTATCGCCTCGATTAGCTGCTCGAGCGCCAAATCGCCGTGACATTGATCGCGGCTGGTTCGAGCGTTGATCGCGATACCGATCAGAACATTGCGCGCAACGAGTTTCCCTCTCGACCGTCGTGCGGGGTGTTCTTTTACGCGCGCGTATCTCGACGCGACTGAGCGAAACCGTTTGTTTTCCCAGTGCTAGCTTTCGAGCGTCCGCAACAATGATTACCGAAAATATCTCTGCTCGCAGCGCAATTTACTTCTGCAATTATGTAACCGTGCACTCGGAATTCCGATGCATCCGCGACGGCAGCACCGAAAGGTTGCGCACGACGAGCCACTCTAACAGGACGAAGAGAATCGAATAACTCCATTGACAAATTCACGGCTTAATAAATTAGAGACCGCGGGGACCTGTTCCGGCGTCAGCCAATAAGCTCTCGGCTTCCGCGATCGGCAACGAACCGTGCGGCGAACTTCGGGTCCCGCTCTCGCGAAATTTAAACACAGAATCACCGTTAACGATCTTCCGCGTTCCTCGAGAACGCGCGCAGCCAAGAGCAGCCGCTTTGTCTCTGCAGCCGCAAGGACAAAGCACCCGGACGAAATTTCATTTAACTCGGGAATTAAGCTGCGCGGCTCGGCCAATTGAATTACTTTTCGGACTGCGAGCGCGGCTAGACGCTTTGACGGAACGAAAATATACCCGTCCTTATCCGCGGCTGCACAACAGCCGTCGCCGTTCTCGGATAGACGAATCGGATCCGAGACCGCCGCGGCGGGCATTAAGTCGAATTAAGTCGATTTGCGCGGCGCGTTTATCCCGAAAACGAAATAAATGGAATTCTCCCGCGAGTGCATTTGATCGAATCGCTTTATCGTTGACCTCTTGCGCTGGAAAGACGCGCGACGCACGTCGAGACGTTTCAGTTACAAAATGGTCAACGATGTCTTTTACACATTGAT